ATAAACAAAAATCCAATTATTAATACATCAGAAAAATATTTCAATAATTTATTTACTTATTCTTTAAATCCGTAAAATATTTAATAAATTCAATACAAATAAAAAACATAAAAATAATTCTCAGAATAAAAGACTATAAATCAAAATCAAATCTTAATTAACAATAATATGAAACATAAAACCTAAATACCAATCGTTATGTTATTTAAGTGAATAATATTTAACATTAAAAATATAATACATTAATTAATTTAATACCAATACACTGTTAAATGAAGATATAGGTAATTATTAGTTGTAATAATGTACTTAACTTATTATATAAATATACATTTTAAAGGCGTTATATTGTTTATCAATATAATGTCTATAAAGGTTAGATACATATTAAAGTATCTGGTTATTAAATGCACACGGTGGCACATGGCTACCAATAGTGTACAAACCAATTATTGTACTAACTTATCGATATTATCTTTTTAAATTATCTTTCATTTAGCGCATTTAATATTGGGTTTCATAGTATACTTTACAATACATTATATACACCATTGGATTATATCCAACAAAACAATTTTTTATCGCTAAAAAAGTTTTATAACTATTTTTCAACTGATATTAAATAACAATATATATTAGGTATTGATTATTGAAATATTAGTGACAATTAGCGTTTAACCCTCACAAGTGGTGTATACTCAGACAAACTTACCTTTGTGGTATTAATAAGTTTGTATTTTATCGAGTATATTTTGTAAAAAATACAATTTTACCACTTTATTAGTGAGAGAGGGAGAGTGTGTGAGAGAGAGAACTCACTAAATGTTTAAAAAACTTTTGCTCTACAACTCGACGACGACTAACATTATTATTATATATTTTAATATTGTTTTGCATATTATTTGTGTCAATATTTTAGATATAATAATACATTTCGGATAACAATTGTTTGGATTGAAAAAAGTTTTTAATAAACAATATTATTATTATAAATAATAATTAGAGCATAGATTATACACACAATAAATAAATCAACATAGTAATAATAATAAGTGGATCGCAAAAATGACCACCGATAACAACAACGATGAACGCCGTAACCCATCGCTATGGGTCTGGTTGGCCGCATCGTCGGCCCTCATGTCGGCCTTGACAATGGGCGCCGTACTAGGTGAGTTGCCCCAAAACTTTTATATAATCAAACTTATATTTATTATTTTATTTATTTATATTAAATACAACATTTATACATAAATATCAATACTTTAGAATTATGTTATATTGTAAAAATGTAAAAATTTTCACCAAGGGCATTAGCAATATAATTTTGATTATAATCATGCCTGCGGTATAATTTTGTGGAATTTTATAATTTATATTTTTATTTGTTACAAACTATGCAATATTATGAACTTGTTAAAATTAATGCTATTTCCAATTGACCATGATTAACATTTTTATTGAATAGGCTGGAGTTCGCCGGGTATACCAGCTCTGAAGCTAAACGGGTCCGAACCTCAACTGCCTCGCGAGCCCTCAGAGACCGAGACCTGGATCTCGTCGTCCATGACTTTGGGCGCACTCATAGGCGGACTGTTAGGCGGTATGTACTGTAGATCTTGTTTTAAATGAAATTAAACATGTTGAGTTAGTATTTTTTTGCTTAAATAAGCAAAATTGTTTTAACAATTTTGATGAATGATGATAAAAATAAAATATAAAAATCCCTAAAATAGCAAAAAATAAATGATTTTCTACATTTATTACACTTGGATTTAATTTAAATAATAATTGACAATACATTTCAGGGCCACTGTTGCAAATGTTAGGCATGAAAAAGGTTTTAATCGGTTTGGGCGCACCTTTTGTTGTCGGATGGGTACTCATCTGGTAATTAACATTATGCTTAATTCATTATATATTTCATTTATTTAAATAACTTTCAATTTAAAATGTATCATTTAAAAATACAATACAATATTATTTGCATATAAAGTAGTATTTTACATTATATTTCGCTGAGAAAAGTTATATTATGTGTAGGTTTATGTGTAAATACACTGACAATAAGTATGTAAAACAAAGCAATTCAATGACAAAAACTTGCATTTTTAAAATATTCCACAAGGAAACTGATATCCATAGTACTATTTAATTACAAATAATTTATTTATCATTATTCTGATTAATTATTTTCTTAGAAATAGTAAATATTTAGTTTCATCTATACTTTAGTACTTTTAATAGTTAATATTCATTTAAAAACAATTTACTTCTAAATTTGTAGATTAAAATTAGGATTTAAAATTTAGATAAAGAATATTTTATTACCAATAATTAAAATAAATGCATATGAGAGACAATTAATATAACTAATCATTATTATAATTTTATAATTTAGTGTGGCCAAGAGTTTTATACTGATAATCATCGGTAGAGTGATCACTGGTTTTGCATCGGGAATATGTTGTGGTAAGAAATCAATTAAAAACAATGATTTACTACATAAACCAATAAAGATAAACAATTAACTAACTGCTCATACTTTACCCCAACTTTGCCCCCTCCGGCATACCAGGAGTGGCGCCCACTTATTGCATACAGATATCCACACCAAAAATCCGGGGCCTTTTGGGTACAGGGTTTCAAGTAATATAACAATAATTTTTATTCAACAT